AAAACTCTTCATAACACGTAATATTAATTATATACTATTCCTATAAATAATCATGACAAACAGCATCATATAAAGAGGCATTTACGTAAATCATTACATAATTCAGCTTAATTCTAAACATTGTTAACATTTTTTAGAAGCTTCGTGACCTATATGTCAAGATTCGAAAACTTGCAGATTTACATGTTAGGATTTGAAAACTTGGTAATTTACATGCTTGGAAATTAAATCCTAGTGATTGTGATTTACATGCTAGGTTTTTAAAACTTGGTGATTTACATGCTTGGAAATTAAATCCTAGTGATTTACATGCTTGGAAATTAAATCCTAGTGATTTACATGCTTGGAAATTAAATCCTAGTGATTTACATGCTAGGTTTTTAAAACTTGGTGATTTACACAGTAAGACTTGGAAACTTTGTGATTCATTTGTCAAGATTTGATATTCCATTCATAGATATTCATTTAAGATTTGATAACCTATGTGATTCGTGTCCAAATGCCCTGAACGTCACTTAGTACACTATCTTAATAGTGATATTGTTATTGGTATATAATATTAACCATGTATGTATTTTGTACTTGAAGGGAACATATAAGTAAAAATAATTCAATATATTTAAATTAATTTGATGTGTGAATCTGGCTGCAGTTGCATTGTTCATGGCTGGAGAGAGCGCTAGTTTCGGGTCCCTTGCAAAGCTCTTCTTTAATCCGAAACAAACTTTTCTACGTGAAAACTTATACAACTCGTTGAAATTTTGGCCAAACCGAATAGTTGAACAGCAGTGAAAATCAAATACATATTTTTGGAAATAAATAGAATAGCATTTAGCTTACTATTTGACTGATGACATATTGATGAAACATTGTGGGCATTTTGTCCCAATTTCACCTACTAAAGAATCTGAACAATTCCTGGCTCAATGGAATCGCTAGTTTTAATTACAATATCGTGTTTTGAGGTATATGTATTTAGAGTCCAAAATCCTGCGTACAACTTAAGTTACAACTTTTTTTAAGGTTGAACTAGATAATGCTGCAGCATAGGTTATAACTGTCGGACTTGACGAAGGAATGCCACACATTATCTTTTTTGGAGAGATGAGATATATTAAAGGCTCAAGACACAGACATTCCTTCATCTTTATGCAGAAATACTTTGAAACGCTGATGTTAATAATATGCTACAATAGTCAGTTGTTTGTACGTTCCACTAATAGTTGCTATGAGGACTATCGGTTTTGGAGGATGAATTGAACTAAAACATTCTTTGAGGTGTCAGTAATAATTCAACACCTCTTCTTAAAATTGACAAATTGATGATATAGTGAATGTTATTGTTCAATGTTATAGTCCAATGTGGCCTTCATCTTAAGCAGATCGAGAGTGCCACATCTGACCCTCCCCTCCCCCCCCATAATCACAGTGAGGGTCCCCACACCTGACTATTAATGATAGCCCCAAAGCACAGCGAGATTTAAATGCGACCTCAGCATACAGAATACATTCACTTAAAATGCATATATCAAATCTACAGCTTACGTGCTATTCATGCCAGTGCCACCTCTTCAGTGGCTTTATCTTTATCAATCAATCAGACACAGCGAGATCGTCCTTAACGCAAGTTTATTATCATTATTATTATTATTATCGTCAACGCGGCCCTTAAGGCCTTGTAAACTATTCAGTAAATAAGGGTTAAGATGCTATGCTGGAGGTAAGAGGAACACATCTCGTAAGGGAATACCAAAATTTTTCAAGAACCCTGACTAAGTCACTTTGCCTAAAATGGTGTTGCAAGCCATAGACCTGTGTCCAATAAATGTTAATAACACATTCGCAGGGATAACACTGCCTACAGTAGTGTTACCCCTGCAAATATGAAGAAGTATAGGGGGGGGGGGACTATATGCCTGCAAATATGAAGAAGTATAAGGGGGGACTATATGCCTGCGAATATGAAGAAGTATAAGGGGGACTATATCCCTGCGAATATGAAGTATAAGGGGGGACTATATGCCTGCAAATATGAAGAAGTATAAGGGGGGACTATATGCCTGCAAATATGAAGAAGTATAAGGGGGGACTATATGCCTGCAAATATGAAGAAGTATAAGGGGGGACTATATGCCTGCAAATATGAAGAAGTATAAGGGGGGACTATATGCCTGCGAATATGAAGAAGTATAAGGGGGGACTATATCCCTGCGAATATGAAGTATAAGGGGACTATATGCCTGCAAATATGAAGAAGTATAAGGGGGGACTATATGCCTGCAAATATGAAGAAGTATAAGGGGGGACTATATGCCTGCAAATATGAAGAAGTATAAGGGGGGACTATATGCCTGCAAATATGAAGAAGTATAAGGGGGGACTATATGCCTGCAAATATGAAGAAGTATAAGGGGGGACTATATCCCTGCGAATATGAAGAAGTATAAGGGGGGACTATATCCCTGCGAATATGAAGTATAAGGGGGGACTATATCCCTACGCATATGAAGAAGTATAAGGGGGGGGGGACTATATCCCTACGCATATGAAGAAGTATAAGGGGGGGGGGGGACTATATCCCTGCGAATATGAAGAAGTATAAGGGGGGACTATATCCCTGCGAATATGAAGTATAAGGGGGGACTATATCCCTACGCATATGAAGAAGTATAAGGGGGGACTATATCCCTACGCATATGAAGAAGTATAAGGGGGGACTATATCCCTACGAATATGAAGAAGTATAAGGGGGGACTATATCCCTGCGAATATGAAGAAGTATAAGGGGGGACTATATCCCTGCGAATATGAAGTATAAGGGGGGACTATATCCCTACGCATATGAAGAAGTATAAGGGGGGACTTTACTCATGTGAATTTGAAGAAGTAAAAGGGGACGATGTCCCTGTGAATATTAAGAAGTTTAAGGGGGACTATATCCTGTGACAATGAAGAAGGGGACTATATCCCTGTGAATATGATGAAGGGGGGAATATATCCCAGTGAATATCAAGAAGTTTAGGGAGGGGGGGGGACTATGGAGGTTGATAAAGCGAGCCTTGGCACAGTTATGGCACTGTGTGAAGCCTTCTGTGCTGGCACCACACGGGACTCTGCCGGCAAGGTCGCAGAGCGAATTTACGAGGTGAGAGAGGGGATGGATAGGTCACTTGGCACCCACCACGGTTCCCCAACGGATTTTGTAATCTATCTAACCTAACCCAACCAAACCAGACCTAACCCAACCAAACCTGACCTAACCTAACCCAACCAAACCTGACATAACCCAACCTAACATGACCTAACCCAACCTAACCTGACCTAACCCAACCAAACCTGACCTAACCCAACCTAACCTGACCTAACCTGACCTAACCTGACCTAACCCAACCAAACCTGACCTAACCCAACCTAACATGACCTAACCCAACCTAACCCAACCTAACCTGACATAACCCAACCTAACATGACCTAACCCAACCTAACCTGACCTAACCCAACCAAACCTGACCTAACCCAACCTAACCTGACCTAACCCAACCAAACCTGACCTAACCCAACCTAACATGACCTAACCTAACATGACCTAATCCATCCTAACCTGACCTATCCAAACCTAACCTAACCTAACCTGACCTAACCCAACCAAACCTGACCTAACCCAACCTAGCATGACCTAACCCAACCTAACCTGACCTAACCCAACCTAACCTGACATAACCCAACCTAACATGACCTAACCCAACCTAACCTGACCTAACCCAACCAAACCTGACCTAACCCAACCTAACCTGACCTAACCTGACCTAACCTGACCTAACCCAACCAAACCTGACCTAACCCAACCTAACCTGACCTAACCCAACCTAACCTGACCTATCCAAACCTAACCTAACCTAACCCAACCTAACCTAACCTAACCTTGACTAATTTAATCAAACCTAACCTAACCTAATAGAAAACGAGCTGTGTCGAATCATTTTGCGCACGAATTCACTAAAACCGCGTCTGCCTAGTCAAAGGTTGGCTAGTGGTCTTGGGGTCCCACAAACATTCGCTGTGGAATCAGCGTCGATTTTCCGCGGAATAAAACCATGTGGGCACGATGCACTGCTGTTATCGATCTTAATGTGAAAGATATGCAGGCCTACCTCCGGACATTTTCTTAGCTTAGTGCGCTCGTACCTGGGTTGGTGGCCTCTGACAGCATGGGTACCTTTAGTGGACCAGATAGTAGAGGCTCGTTCCCTTCCTTGGACTCAGGGTGAGTCACTTACTCATATTGTGGGACAAACAATAACAAAATATTATATGTGGTTATTCATACATTTTAAGCACAATAACATTAAATACGTAGATATTATCACCTATAATTATGAATATATATATATATATATATATATATATATATATATATATATATATATATATATATATATATATATATATATATATATATATATATATATATATATATATATATATATATATATATATATATATATATATATATATATATATATATATATATATATATATCTGGGACATAGATTATTATGAAAGATGAACGAGTTGCACACTCCCCACCTGAAAATGGGTTAAGTCCATCATAACCATTCAGGATGAACAGCGCTTGTTTCAACGTGGGCAGTAATTAGCTCTAACAACATATTGAACACACTAACACGTCACGTTCTAACTAATACTAGGATATCTTGGGCTAAGTTAAATATGCATAGATTTGGATGACTTTGTTGAGATCGAATTGTGTTATCTCGTATTAGTTCATCCAACAACTTCATTGTTTGCATCCGTCATACAGGAATGTATTTCTAGTATATTTATTAGTATTTATTAGTATTTATTAGTATGATATTCAGTCGTTCAAATGTTCAATAATTGGTACCAATTTCTCGTCTTAAATACTGCACAATGATACTCCGAGATATCGTATATCCTCATTAGTTCTTGTTATTGAATATCCTAAACATTCACTAATAGTTATCGTACATCCTCAACTTTCACTGTGTTATCGTACATCCTCAACATTCACTGTGTTATCGTACAACCTTAAACATTCACTGTTATCGTACATCCTCAACTTTCACTGTGTTATGTTACATCCTCAACATTCACTGTGTTATCGTACATCCTCAACTTTCACTGTGTTATGTTACATCCTCAGCATTCACTGTGTTATCGTACATCCTCAACATTCACTGTGTTATCGTACATCCTCAACATTCACTGTGTTATCGTACATCCTCAACATTCACTGTGTTATCATACATCCTCAACATTCACTGTGTTATCGTACAACCTTAAACATTCACTGTTATCGTACATCCTCAACTTTCACTGTATAAGGACCTCAACATTCACTGAGTTACCATACACCCCAACATTCACTGAGTTACCATACACCCCCAACATTCACTGAGTTACCATACACCATTAACATTCACTGAGTTACCGTACAGCCCCAACATTCAGTGAGTTACCATACACCCTCAACATTCACTGAATTACCATACACCCTCAACATTCACTGAGTTACCATACACACCCAACATTCGCTGAGTTACCATACACCCTCAACATTCACTGAGTTACCATACACCCTCAACATTCACTGAGTTACCATACACCCTCAACATTCACTGAATTACCATACACCCTCAACATTCACTGAGTTACCATACACACCCAACATTCACTGAGTTACCATACACCCTCAACATTCACTGAGTTACCATACACCCTCAACATTCAGTGAGTTACCATACACCCTCAACATTCACTGTGTTATCGTACACCCTCAACATTCACTGAGTTACCATACACCCCCAACATTCACTGAGTTACCATACACACCCAACATTCACTGAGTTACCATACACCCCCAACATTCACTGAGTTACCATACACCCCTCAACATTCACTGAATTACCATACACCCCCAACATTCACTGAGTTACCATACACCCCCAACATTCACTGAGTTACCATACACCCCCAACATTCACTGAGTTACCATACACCCTCAACATTCACTGAGTTACCATACACCCTCAACATTCACTGAATTACCATACACCCCCGACATTCACTGAATTACCATACACCCCCGACATTCACTGAGTTACCATACACCCCCAACATTCACTGAGTTACCATACACCCCCAACATTCACTGAATTACCATACAACCTCAACATTCACTTACAGATATCATTCATCAACATTCACCCTCAGAAGTGTGTATACAATACCAGGAGATCAGTTTTAACATTCACAGGTAATTAAGTTTTATACAAATTCTTAGATATTGATTGATTCTTAATATGCCTATATCTAATTTTTGCTGTACCTCAGCCTATGTCTCCATTATGGAGATCGCTTTTTATTTGCTGATCATCACCTTCGCGCTCGTTTTGTTGCACCATTAGCACCCATTACTTAGATTCCTTAACCATTAACTTTTAAGTGTTGCTTCTGGCGACGTTATGAATCTCCAGGTGCCAAGCACTTAATTACCCAACAACCCCATGGGCAGTTAGGCTGGTCTTAAATTAGATTTTAATTGCCTAGTCATTTTAATTTCTAAATCCGTTTGCTGTTAATAGCTCAACTTTTTAACCTTACGTGTTGAACCCCATTGTTTTCAACATGGCAACCCCTTAGCACCCAACATCACAACCCTTAGCACCCAACATCACAACCCTTAGCACGCAACATCACAACCCCTTAACTTCAAACATCTTAAGCCCTTAGCCTACAATATCTCAACCCATTAGCCTTCAACAGCACAACCCCTTAGCCCATCCATTTAGAATCCTGCATCCCAAACCCACTGCCTTCTTCACCCCAACCCCCTTAGCCTGCAACAGCACAACCCCTTAGCCCATCCATTTAGAATCCTGCACCCCAAACCCACTGCCTTCTTCACCCCAACCCCCTTAGCCTGCAACATCTCAACCCCCTTAACCTCATCACATATAACTAAAGTCCCGTTTCCTATGATATTTACAAATGCCAACATCGTGACCTTTAAATTTACAAATCACAACTCTAATAGTTTTCTATAACATTACAATCTATGAAACTCTTTAGCCTATAACATCACAGCTTTATATCTCTGCTATAACTCCTCAATACTAAACAGTAAGTTTAGATACCAAGTTTGCACATTCACTAATGATCAGGATCACAACACAAGATCACAACTCTTTAATACATATTAAGTTAAAAAAATGCTTTACTGAGAACACCTGAAACATCACAGATGAGTTCCTTTATGACGAACATCACAACCTTGTTCTCTCAACATCGCAACAAACTCAGAATGTTTCAATTTAGTCGCTCTCTAACGTTAAAAATCAGATCTCTTGTTTTTTCATCTTCATAACACCTTCTTGGCTCTAATATAGTTACCCCTTAATCAGCGTCTAGAAACTTTGACAAAATAAATGACAGTCTTTTTCGAAACTATCTTCCCATAAATCTCCAGACTTTATAGTTAACATCTTTCTTATAAATCAATAAATAAACTTATTTTGTCAAATAGTTGTTATCTTCATTAGTATAGTTAGTTAAAAATTTAAAATTGATCGTAATTGACTGCTAGAATCATTATCACTTACAAACCCAGTGTGTCATCAGTAGACAAGCATAAATATTAACGAGGAGTTAACATGGGACTTGATGGAAAGTCTCGTGTTGGTTCGATAATATATGTGTTTACGAAGAGCACACTCGTTATCAGTAACATACTGGGCATACTCTTGTGAGGATTAATTGTAGTCTTAACTGCAAGGAGACGCTGAATTAATAGTAATTTATTGATCGCGTTTCTCGTTAAGTACGCAGGAGCGGAAACCGATTCTTGTCAAGATCAAAGACTAGCATTAGGCTCACCGCTACATCACACAGGATCCCTCAACAAACAGGACCTCTTCCTGTACAAATGAGGCGACCAATTACAAATTATACTATATGTTTATTACCTGATGACATCCACACCACGTTATGGAGGCGTCCCAGACTTCATTTTATTCAAGGTCTGCTGATGTCACCAGAAATTCGCTTGATCGTTATGTGATTTTGTTTAATATTGCTACAGATCAAAGACACTTACTTTGATAAGCGTGTTGTTGAGGTATATTATAAATAATTGTGCATATAAATATATGAAGTGTTACCATGTGAGAAATATATCATTATTCGAGACGAAAATGGAACATGAAAAAGGAGAATAGCATCAAAGTTCAAGGGATACATGCGTAACTTTTTTTCTTTGCATAGTACTGTCCGAAGATCTTAGAAGACAGACTATTGATAGAAGAAACCTTTGTCAAGGGGCTACTATCTTCTGGTCTGTCTAAAGAACTGAAGACGGCGTGGACCCTTCTATCTTCAACCATCCGTTGAAACTACCCCGACGGCCAAAGACCTTAGGATCGCTTTTCGGTATTGAACACATTGAAAGCAATTGCTGACGAATCTAAGTTTCGCTAAGTCCCGGAGACTTGACCCAAGTCGTGAAGTTCTTGAGGACGAATGGAAGCCCTTAGTGCATCTGAGGCCACGTCGACGACAAACCACATTCATTTAGGGAGTGAATATGGGGCGGTAACTAGACTATATATATAACATTGATGATGTGTTTTCCTAGAGTGTTTTCAGTCGTTTCAAACTATTTATAAACAGTTATTAGCATACGTCACTCAACAATCATTCCGTGGATTGTAGCGCCAATATTCAATAAGTCAATAAGTCTTTTAGTGAATTTGAAGCCACTTGCTATGCATCGTTCAGTGACCTATGTTGACAACTGTTTGTTGAAAGATTATGCTGTTAAGGAACCAGCCTATCTGAACACTTGGAGAAATCATTTTGGCATGGTTAGCTGGCGGAGAATTGCTTCCGACCTGGT